AGCAGCAGCAGCGGATGGGTCCGACAGCAGCAGCAGCAGCAGCGGATGGGTCCGGCAGCAGCAGATGGGTCCGGCAGCAACAGCAAATGGCTCCTGCAGCAGCACCAGAGCAGATGGCTTTGGCTGTTCAGCGGCAACAGCATTAGATGGGTTCAGTGGTGGCAGCCGGTAGTCGGCAGCAGCAGCAGCAACAGTAGAGCAGATGGCTTTGGTTGAACAGCAGCAGTAGCAGCAGATGGGTCCGGTGGTGGCAGCAGCAGATGGTTCGGTAGCAACAGCAGCATATGGTTCGGCAGCAGCAGCAGCAACAGCAGGGAAGCTAAAGAGATTGAGTGATGGGAATTAAAATAAATTAGGGTTAGGGTTAAATGTAGGAGAATGGATTGGGTTGGGAGTTGGGTTGGGTTGGGTTGGATAGTATTGGGTTAAATTTAATTGTAATTGGATTAAATTTGGGTTTGGGTTTGAGTTTGAATTTAGGTTTAGGTTTAGGTTTGAGTTTAGGTTTTAGTTTAAAGAATAAATTAATTTTAAAATAAAAAAAAAAAAATTTTTTCGGGGATGGGGATCCCCACGGGGCCCCACGGGGCAGGGAAAATTCCTCGCGAAATTTCACAGGGAGAAAATGATCCCGTCCCCGTCCCGCAGGGAGGAATATTCCTCCCCGCCCCATCCCCGTGGCGGGATCCCCGCGGGGCCCCGTGGGGAACGGAGAGAATTGCCATCCCTATTTATTTCCCTTTTTATTTTTATTAAGTAAAAATATCCTGCACCATTTTTTACCAAAAAGTCTAAAGCTCATCTTTTCTGCTTCTCCACCACAAACTGAAACCTTATCTTCCTCATTGCTGTCGAATCTCCTCCCTCACCAAAGCCATGGCCGTTGTCGATCTTCATCATCTTCTCTCCTTCATTGCTGCCAAACCCCTTCCTTACCAAAGCCATGACCCTATCTTCGTCATTGCTGCCGAATCTCCTTCCTCACTAAAGCCATGGCCGTCAGGCATTCCAGATCCAACAAATCATGAAGCATCAATCTTCATCATCTTCTCTCCTTCATTACTGCCGAACCCCTTCCTCACCAAAGCCATTACCCTCTCTTTCTCATTGTTGCCGAATCTCTTTCCTCACCACAGCCATGGCCATCGAGCATTCTGGATCTAACAAATCATGAAGTGTCGATCTTCATCATCTTCTCTCCTTCATTGTTGTCAAACCCCTCCCATGGCCATCGGACCACTTGCATGCCAGATTTAACAAACCATCGTAGACCTCTTCTTTTTTTTTTTTTTCTTGATCATTGCTTTGTTGTTTTTCCTTTTTTCTGTTCTTTCTTTGTGTTGATGGTGATTTCTGGTTGCAGGCATTGATCAAAAAGACCAATCTGAACCCAAGAATGATTTGGGTTTCTCTATATTGGGTTGTTTGGTAGTTCATCATTCATCACATGTTTGACTCCACTTGAAGCGACTCTTTTTGATGGGTTGAGGATGAAGGGTTTTTTTTTTTTTTTGGTCATTTTCCCACATCAATTTTCAATTTTGGCTTGTAAAGATACTTGCTCTGTTGTAGAACTGGAGTGGGGTTTCTTTTCCTTTCTTCCTCATGAAATGGGATTTTGGGTCTTTAGTATGTTAACTAAGAAAGATTTGGGTTTTTTGTGGATTTCAAAAAGGAGGAGATTGGGGTTGTTTGTGTTTAGGCTCCTGCTTGGGTTATGGTTGTCTCTTGTGCTTTTGAAGCCCGTTTTAGTATGACACATGCTTTTTGGAAGGTATTTTTAGTTTGAATGCTTAATTAGGAAGAAGGGTCTTTCTGGTATTGTTCTGATGATTTGGGGCACACATTCTTAGCTCCTTCTACTACGAGGAAGTTGCCTGAGGAGTATGTGGAGTTGGTGAAACGTGTTCATGAGGATTGTGGTTATGGCTCCAGGGGTATGCTATTTTTTTTTTTTTTACGTCTCTTTTTCAATGTTTTACCAGTAAGCAGTTCAGTTATTGTTATTTGTTTTTTATTCTATATAGATATGGGTACAAATGGAAAAGAGAGGAAGCAAACAAGAACTTGCTGCGGACGCATACAACTGCTGTTTCCACCAGAATGCTTTATGCACTGGCTAAGGTTTGAGGGTCTTGAGACTCATAATTTTGTCTTTTAATTCATTTAACTCCCTTCAATATTTGTTAGCTCTTTTACTATACATTTTTATCATGCTTCCTGATTGTTACTTTGTTGGTGTGTTGCCATTATTATTACATGCACTATATTTATTGAATGCATAAATATATTTTTTGGATTACAGAATGCATATTCAACAAACCATCCCCCCTCCCCACCCTTCTATTTCCTCAAAAATACTAAGTGGTTTACAGCATAAGCAACTTTAGGAATATTAAATATTAAATATTCTTTTTTTTTTTTTCTGATTTCATCTACAGCAACCTTTTGCTCCCAAAAAGTACTTCTCAATTGACCATGTTTTCAGAAATGAAGTTGTTGATTCAAATCATCCTGCAGAATCCATCAAATAGAAGGTACTTGATAAACTTGGTTACTGGATTGGGGTTTGTATTAGGTATTAACTTTTGTTGTAAATATTGATCTGTCTTGGAAAAACTAAATTGAGTTGCAGATTTGGTAAATTGAAAACTTACTGAATAAGACCTACTACGTTTGACACTGACATATGTAAAAGATTTTAGCACTAATAATATTCTTAGAGTTGTGCCATTAGTTAAGTGCCTAGGTGGCCGAAACCTGTTCAATTCAAGTGCATAAACTTTCATGGTAACTGAAAACATCAACTAGATATGTGTTGCTGATGCATCTGACCATATGTTAACTAGATTTGTACCATCTGATTGACATTGCTTTTGAGTGCTTGTATTAACTTACTAGCTTGCTAAATATTCATATGTTTTGATTTAGGTCTGATCTGCGATCGAGGGCTCACTCTTGGTGACTTGATTGGTGTTCTACATGACTCCTTCTCACAACTAGGTAGTGCTTAATATTATGCTGAATATGGTTGGAGCTTGGAACTGCTCTTGAATAAATTGGTGTGAGGGTTTAATATATTTTCAGGCATGTCTAATCTGCGTTTCAAACCTACATACAATCCATATACGGAACCTAGCATGGAGGTATTCAAGTAAAAAGTAACAAATTTCTCTTCTACTTTCAGTTAGGTGGACAGAAATTTGACAGTTAATCTTCTACTTTCAGTTATCATGAAGGCTTGGGAAATGGGTTGAAATTGGGGATTCTAGCATTTTCAGATCTGAAATGTTGCATCCTATGGGATTACCAGAAGATGTTAGCGTTATTGCATGGGGGCTTTCTCTTGAAAGGTAAGAAATTATTCACAAAAGGGTGAAGTTTTTTCAACAATTTCAATATAGGCAAATGAATGAAGCACAGATGTCAGGACTTTTAACCATTAGAGATGGTTTTTTT